TACAGTTTCTTGTGGCCTCAAACATTTCAAAGCCAAGGATTTGACCGTTCAATTGGGAACATAGTTGGACTACAACTTCCTGTGGCCTCAAAGGGTTTGCAGGCCAAATATGTGACAGAACATGTAACTGCATGTTTATGTGCCTACATATGTTGAAAGTATAGTTAAGGAACATCTCCGGACTACAATGCGCTGTGACCTCAACATGTTGCAGGCCAAATGTATGACACAAGAAATTGGAAACTACACAATTTTATGTGCCAGCAAATTCCAAAAACAAAACGGAGTTACAGTCTCTTGCGGCCTCAAACATATGCAGGCCAAAGCTTTGACAAACAAATTGGTGACTGCAATTGTTGAATTAAGGACGATATTTGGACTACAAATTTACGGCGGCCTTGAACATTTGCAGGCCAAATGCTTGACATTGAGCATTTGTTGGACTGCAACTTCCTGTGGCCTCAAAAGTTAGCAGGCCAAAAACTTGACAAAACATGTGACTACATGTCTATGGGCCAACATATGTCCAAAGTACGGGTAAGGAACATCTCTGGACCACAATGCGCTGTGACCTCAACATGTTGCAGGCCAAATGTATGACAAAAGGGATTGGTAACTACACATTTTTGTGGGCCAACACATTCAAAAATAGAGAAAGGGACAATCCGGGGTTATAGCCTCTTGTGGCCTCAAACATTTGCGGGCCAAAGAATTGACAGCAACTTGTTATTTAAGGAACATATTTGGACTACACATGTGCGGCGGCGTCAAGCATTTGCAGGCCAAATGCTTGACAAATAAGTTGGTAATTACAATTTGGGATAGTTGAACATCTTTTGACAAATGCAATACAATTAAGGAACATATTTGGACTACAACTTTCTGTGGTCTCAACATTTTGCAGCCCAAACTTGTGTCAGACAAATTGGTGACTACATGTTTTTATGTGTTAAAGTATTTCGACAAAATAATTATCATGGATGGCACCCTTTTCTCAAGGGGTTTTGGGCCAAGAGTGACACCCTCTTCCCAAGGAGTCGCGGTTACTCGTGGGTGACACCCTCTCTTTTCGAGGGGTTGACACCCTCTTTTCGAGGGGTTTTGATTTCAATTAAGATGGCCCAACATGATTTGCCCTAGAACTCGCAACCACACAGGGAAAACTAGTTAGCGTTCCATGTTTGGGGTTCGCTCTCAATTCCACGTGCTTCCCAGCAATTCATTTGTGATCAATTTTGATCCAACGCATCGTTGATCAAAATTTGCAAAAACAAGTTGACCCATATCATGTTTTAAGTGGGACGCCTGCAAAAAATATGTTCATACTATCTGGCATAATTCCAGCACCATCCACCCTGGCCAATGGACCAATTGAAAGCCAGCAACCCATTTTTTTCTGGTTCATCATGTTTTCATAAATTTCCACGCCACCAAACCCAAAGAAGGCAAACGCAATGAAGATAACAAAGTTCCCATGAGAAAAGGGAAAGCAAAGGTGATGAAAAGTGTTTTGAACATAACTGCGACATGTTGGCCAGGTGACGCCTGCAAAGGCACAAAGAAAATCAACATCAAGCGAAGGAACAAAAACAGGAGAGACACCGCAAGCAATCTCAGGGCAATGCTGGGGAAATGGGAGGGTCCCAGGGCTTGGTCCAAGTACCAAACATCAACCAAAGACAAAAGTAAAAGAAAGGGAACAGTTTGTACACCCGTGAAGCCGGCGAAGCCGGTTGGCAGACGTTTCAAAACTAGAAGAACGATAGTTTGCAGCAGGCTTGTTTTCCCCTTCTCTGTTCTCTCTCTCTCTCTCTCTCTCTCTCTCTCTTTCTCTCTTTATCTCACTTTGTCTTTGTCTTTGTTTCTCTCTTTCTCATTGTCTTTTTATTTGTCATGTTCTTTCTCTTTCTCTCTTGCTCTCTTGCAATCTTTATCTCTTTATCTTTCTCTCTTTGCCTCTTTCTCTCCTTCTCTCCTTCTCTCTTTCTCTTTGTCTTGTTATTCCTTGCTTTCTAAATTCATGTCTTGATTTATTTATTTATGTTTTCTTTCTTTAGGTATTTATGTTTGTCTTTCTTTATTTATAGTTATTTATGCATGTCTTTCTTTTTGTTGATTTATTTCGTCATTTATTTCTTCATTTATTTCATTGTTTTCTGTATTGGTTTATCTCTTTATATCATTGTGTTTTTTATTTCTTGAGTTATTTCTTTCTTTATGTCTTCCTTTCGTTGTTTATGTTCCTTCTTTGTTTCGTTATTTATGTGTTTAGGTATTTCTTTCTTTATTTATTTCTTTCGTTATTTCGTTCTTTCTTTCTTTCTTTCTGTCTTTCTTTCTTTCTTTCTTTTTTATTATGTTTTCTGTCTTTTTGTCTTTCTCTCTCTCTTTCTATCTTTCTTTCTTCATCTTTCTCTGTCTCTTTCTCTTGCGCATTTTTCACTTCTTTCTCTTTCCCGCTCTCTTGTTGTTTTTATCTTTCTCTTCCTCTTCATATTTCCCTTTCTCTTCTTTTTCTCTTCTTTTTCTTTCTCGTCATCTCTCTCTCTCTCTCTCCCCTTTTTGGAACAAGGAGGAGCCCTGCGCTCCTTTTGGAGCTGACAGCCCTTGCCTTGCGCCTTGCAGCAAGTGTTCTTTTCATCTCCTTCGCGCGTCACCGCTGCGGCCTGGGAGTGGAAACAGGAATGCCATTTGTTTTTTGAGCGGGGTGAAACATGCAAATGTCTGAAACTGATTAAGTGGGCACAAAGCGCGCAAGTGCAAGCTTTCAGGAGCTAGCGACTACCTTCTTTTCGCGTACAATCAAGCACATTTAGGAGCAAGCGGCTTCCTGATTTTTGCTTACGGGCTATAGAGACTGTAGGAGGAGCCCAAGGCATCCTACGCTTTGTGCTAATGACAAAACATGTCACGCAACTAATCGTCTGAACAAACTCTGTTTCCAGCGGATTCTGCAACAGTATATAAAGCGAATATCATGCGAAGATGTGCCCGAGGCATCTGCGATATGGAAATGGAAAGTCATGCCATGCAACAAAACTCAGCGAATATACTACGAGCATGCGCAGCTGACCCACGTCGGTTGACACGGATCCACGTCAACCCGAATCCTCGTCAAGTGTTTTTTACACGAATCCTCGTCAACTCGAATCAGCGCTGAAAAAAACGAATCCTCGCCATCGAATCCTCGCCGGAAGGACTGGGTCCTCCTCCTCCTCCTCCTCAGCAGTGTCGGCCGCAGTCGCCTTCGAAGGCTTTCCTTCACTCGGCGCACCGCCACCTGCAGCAACCACTTCGGCTTCCTGGACACGGCCCTCGGCCTCCCGTGGAGTGGAAGGCCGGGGCCGCCCCAATTCTTGCAAGCGCTGGCTCAAAGCGTCGAGAGACGACACAACGCCCCTCAGCTTCTCGAACTGCCTCTGGCGCTGGGCATCCGTGTCCGGGGCGAGAACCTCAGCGATTTGCTCCTCGGTTGGCTGCCAGTCCCCCTGCTGTTCCCCCTCGGAGGTGTGACTATAATCCGCAAGGGTCCAAGACGCCTAGCAGGGGCAAATCCATAGGAGCGACAAAACCTGATTACGTTGCCAACCACAAACTCTTCTAGATCAAAGTCTAAAATCAAACATTGAAACAGCTATTGCGTCTTCAGCCCGTGATCCTTCATGCAAGACAGTAAACTAAGCTCCCAATCTCAACCCATCGTTTCAGCTTGCAGTGTGACAAATCAATCAAAACCTAGCAGGTAACAAGCTACAAGCGTAGAAAGTAGTGCGGGCAGGCCTCTGTCTCGCCCCCTAGCTCGTCCGAGGAGCGCTTGTGCGATCCGCGGGCTGACTCGGCATGGCTGCCACCCCGGTCGGAGTTCTGCACCTACGCTGGCAGTGGTTTACTGAGCCACCTTGCACCCTGAACACAAACCCCCCTCCCCGAAAAAGCCATATCAAAACTCAGCGCCTAAAAGCCTGACGCTTACTTACTAAGCAAGGCGCCGAGGCCGGGCTGCTGCCTGTGCGGGGTCTGCGCTTCGGGGCTGCTGCTCTTGGGGCGAGCAGCACAGCGCTATCTTCCAACCACGATGGCTGCACAAAGCCGAAGGTCAGAGCGTGCAGCCTGAAGTCGTTGGGCGAAAGCACTCGGTTCAAGACCAGCCGCTGCGGCACCTCAGCCGCTGACCTGGAACGCAAGTCGGACTCCATCTTCTTGGCGAAGTCAATCGGCGTGTCCAAGCCCCGCTGGCGATGCGAGGGGTGGTGCTTGTCCAGCTCGACGATGTTGCGGAGCATGTGCAGGTAGCCCGCCACCACATCCACTGACTCGCCGGTGGCCCACACAAGGAAGAGCAACATGATCATGCTGCTCCTGTGCGCGCCGTTGCGGCAGCATATCAAGACCTTGTGGCCGGCAGCAAGCAGCTCCAAGACACGGCCAAAGGCCTTCACCAGCTTGAGGTAGAGGGCGGCGCCGCCTATCACCCCTGTGCCGTCGAAGGTGCCTAAAGACTCAATTCGGGCATCCCGCACCGGAACGGGCCTACTCGCTGCAGACAGCACCGCCGACACGCCGTTCTGAAGCATGAGCTCTGCAGACCCGGAAGCACGCACTCCTCCGAGCCACAGCTGCCCACCGCTCGGCGTCTCGAGAACCAAGTGCATCGCGTGCCTGGCGACGCAGCGCGAAGCTCACGAACTAAGGGTACCGCGAAGCTTGTCCCAGCCCCAAGTCGTCCCAAATCCTAGAAACTGAAAATCGAGAATGGCCTCTAAACTCCAGCAAACAACAAGGCAACGGCGCACAGCAAACATGACGCACGCACACGAACGAATGCAGAAACAGAACGCGCACACAGGCGCACAAGCACAACACACGCTCGCAGGCATGCGCGCGTGCACACACACACACACACCCAACCACCCACCCACCCACCCACACACACACACACACAGACTGACGCACGCAACTGATTCAAATGAGCACTCGCCACACAAACACTATGCCATCCACTAGCCCAGGCGCCGCTCGTTGTAGACGTCTCTGGCCCACCAGATGCCCTCTACCGTCCCGTAGCAGTCGGCAACAAGGTGCTCCTGAAGGCCCGCCCTGGCAGCTTCAAAGCTACCAGAAACCGCTTCCCCCCCCTGCAGCTTGCGCACGGCCGTGCGCGAGTCCATCGGGGCGAACATCTGGGCCACCATCCTTGACGAAGCCATGGCTCACACGGTCCACGACCTCCTCAGGCACACCTCTCACCTGCTACTGTGGCCCTGCGCGCAGTGTAAGCCTTGAGCCGAGCCAAGCGGGTGATGCCAGCATGACTTGCTGGGGGCTGCTAACAAGGATACCTCCCGAAAAAGTGTTACTATGCAGATAGTCAGAATAAATGATTTGTGAATGAACAGAGGAAGAATTTGAAGGACCCCGAACATTCGCACTGCCCTTGACAGCCGCAGCATTCTGCCCGCCCTCCAAAGCACAGTCCTGTCCACGGGCTGCTGAAGAAGTCCAGCAGCTTCGCGAAGTTGTCTCGCTGGGAGCCAGGGCGGCCTTCCTCAGGCGCCTGGAAGCAGCAAAGCTCCACGAGCTTGCGCGCCACATCCTTGCCGGCGCGCCACTCCTCCAAGGCTGCCGCCGGAGTTTCAGCCAGCACCCTGAGATCTCCTTGCACACGGTCTCGGACCTTCTGGCGCAAGGACTGCAGCAAGTTCTGCTTCGACATGGTCTTCGTGGTCGAGAAGTTTCCACCAAGCACGCCGAGCAACTTCGTTAGCTGCTCGATGACGTTCCCAGTCCTGTGCTGGGCACAAAGAACAGGCAGCAAAAAGTGCTCATCAGGCAAAGTGTGCTCCAAGAACCGCAGCATCTTGATGTTGGCTGCTTCGCACGAAGTCAAGGTTGCAACAAAGCTGGCTTCACACTCGGCTATCAAGCCATCTTGCAGCGCTGACCACAGAGTAGCCCAATTCATCCCAGGAAGCAAACGAGGAGGCCTGGCAATGTGCTCGTCCATAACTCGGCCATCAGTCAGCTCGTATGTCAGCTGGCCATGGGAACAAAGAACCGAGCAGTCAGTCAGTGGCTGGCGGCTCTCCAACTTGAGCTGAAAGCCTGACTCATCGAACATCAAGTTTTGGATGCAGAGTTTGCAATCAGAATGCAGCGCCTTCTTGACACCAAGCGCCTGCCTCTGCAGAATGCACTCGGCTGCTACCATCCTGGCCTGCCCAGCGTGTGCGCCAGATGCTCCTTCCAGTTGCTCATGTGTTGTGCGCGCTGCTGTGTTGGCAGACGAAAAAGCTGAGCGGAGAACCGCGCCAGGTGTCCATGTCTTCCAGGCGCCCTTCCCCTTGGTCTTGCCTCTCTGTAGCTGCCCGTCGTGAGTCGGGAACTCAAAATCACGCGTTCGAGCGCGACCACTCTGGTTGAATGAGCGGGCCTGCTGGTCCAGCTGGCTCTCCCTCCGCCGCTGCAGCCGGCTGCGTCTTCGCCTTTTCCGATTGACAGCAGCCAGGCCACGGCCCAGCCGGCTTTGAACACGCGTCCTCCCTGTTCGGCAGGATGCTGCTGAAGCATTCTCCGACCCACCGTGCTCACCTGGCGGACTCGGCCCACGGCCACCTGGGCTAGCTGGGCGCTGCTGACTCGGTCCACGACCGCCCGGCTCACCTGGGCTGCCTGCCGAATGTCCTGTATGCTGACGGATGATTTGCAATATATCTTCAAGCTCCATGGCTCGTGAAAGCTACAAAGCTGCTGAGCCTAAAGCCATTTGTCCCATAATCTTCACATATTTCAGTTCAGAATGATTTGATTGTATGAAATTTGTAGAATTATTGGAAGTTGCTGGAAAAGATTCTGAGAATTTAGGCAAACATTTCAAGAAATTTAAGAAAACCTTTCAATATTCTAAGAAAACTATTTACATCATTTAACATCCCTTTGCTGTGTGTGGCCTCCCACAGGCCTTCTTGAATTCAGCCAACACATACGGGCTAAGTACCTAGCTTCGGCAAAGACCCTCGGGTTTCGAAGATGATCTGCACCCAACGGGTGCACCCTCTCTCAAAACAGGAATGACATGCAGGGCACCCGTGAATCTGGCATTGAAACAATGTCCAAGCTGAAAATAAGGTCATGGAATGGGTGACCGTTTCTCAAAACAAGAAAGTGATGCATTGGAAAATAGTGCTACTCTTCCTCCCACTAACAACACATTTGTGGGAGGGTACCTGGAAGGATATTGACAATATCCTGTTGCAGGGAACACGTGCAATGGAAATAGGGGGGGTAACTGGCAGCACTGGGGATATTCAAAAACAGGTGTGTCCGTTTTTGAGGGTGCCCGTTCTCTATGAAAGTGTTAAAGGGAAACCAAGACAAAACCCACAGGAAAGCGTTAAAGGGAAACACCATTGGGAAACCCTGAAAAAACCAACCACATGTTAAAATGTGTCAAAGTCCTTTTTCCAAGTGGAAATCCGTTTTGGAAAAGACCCACCCGTTTTTTTCCAAGAGAAACCAAGCGGGGAACACATTTTGGGAGCTTACACCCTCAAAAAACCACCCATCTTTTTGAGGGAACCCACTTCCCCCTTAACAAACCGCCCATCTTTTTGAGGGAGACCCACTTCCCCCCCAAAAAAAAACAAAAAACACCAGCATAGACCCCAGATAGCAATGATTGCACACCAGCACCTCCAACAGCACCCCCCGAAGAGCGTCCCAAACAGCACCCGGCCGTCAATCGAGCACCCGCGCCGTCACTAGCACCTCCAACAGCACCCCAAACAGCATCCCAAAACAGCACCTGCAGCAGCACCCCAAACTGAATGCCCCCTGCACCCTGCCGTCAATCTCGCAAAAATGCGCCTGCACCGTCACCCTAAGAGCAGCCCAAACAGCACCCCCCCAAACACCCAGCCGCACCCCAAACAGCATCCCAGAACACCGCAAAAATGTGCCTGCACCGTCACTTGCATGCCCGATAGCGCCCGGGCGTCAATATCGCAAATTGCGCCCGCACCGTCACCAGCACCTCAAACAGCTCCCCAAACAGCATCCCAAAACACCACCAGCACCAGCACCCCAAACGTGCACCCTACCGTCAAGATGCAAAAGCACCGTCACCCCCAAAACAGCACCTGCACCAGCACCCCCAAACTGAATGCCCCCTAGCACCGTCAATCTTGAAAAGATGCGCCCGCGCTGCCATCAGCACCTCAAACAGCACCCCAATCCGCAAAAACCAGCACCCCAAACTGCACGCCCCTTGGTACCAGCCCATCAATCTCGCAAATCACTTCCCCTCTTTATTAGAAGTTAGAACTCCTATAGCTTTCAGCTGTCTGGGGAAAAAAAACACCCGTCTTTTCGACAGAAACCCAGACCCCCAGAGGCCGGGCCGCGGAGGGCGGCACCAGCTCCGCGCCGCGGAGGCGCAGCCCGCGCCCTGCGAGCGAGCGAGCGAGCGAGGCGGTGAGACGCGGTCAGACGGGGGCGGTCGCCCCATTTGTGACTGGACTCTTCCTGCGGTCGCCCCTTATTTTGTTGGGGGGGGGGGACATCTGGGGGGGGGGACATGGGGCATACATGAAAAAAACGGCAAAGGGTCATGTTGCAAACTGTTTCCATGTGGGGTTGCCCATAAAAGTGGTCGCCGCCTGGCGAGCCGCGAGCCGAGCTTCTCATGAGAACCAACTGGCTGAGGGTTTTGTGACGTCGCTTTTTCGCCCATCATCAAAGTCACACCCCCCAGGGTCAATGGACCAACCCAATGGCTGATTTTGGAGTCGGAAAAAAGTCGAGACAATTACTAGAAATGATCATTTAGCTTGGCTGCTGTTGACTGACCCCCTGCAAAAAGTTCTTATTATTTTTGTTGGGGGGGGGTTGGTGGAAAACTGCTTGAACACCCTCCCAGCAACGGAGACATGGCTGCGGTGGTCAAAACCTAAGCCTGTGGCACTGGTTGGGGGTTCATTCCATTTACAGGGGAAACCCAGCTATTTTTCTCAAAAGGCCACCTGTGGTTGCCATGGAAATGGATACCCATATGGCAGGGGTTGTCAAAACCGTTTTCGGATCCCATTTTGGTTGGTAGGTGAATTCACCACTTGAGAACCTATTTTAGTGGGGATTGGGATGTTCACCGGGCGGGATGAAACCATAGGGGACAGTTTGTGGGGTCTTTGTCGCGAAAAGGACGCCAGCAGCGGGTTACCCTCCCAACAACTAACACATGGAACCTCAAATTCGGGGGGGTCCTGGAAGATAATTGTCGTTCCATGCGGGAGGGTAACCCCGTTTTGAAGGGGTCACGGAGACTCCAAATAAACCCCACCCGCCTTTTTAGAGTTGCTGTTAAGGAGAAACCACAAGAGAAACCACCTATTTTTGGAGTGCCCTCCAAAAAGACGCATTCAACTGGTTTGATCATTGGTACTTGGCCCGCATGGGCTTGCAAAGGGGTTGGGGTGAACCGAGGCTTGATCACAAATTGGCCCATGCGTGTGTTTGTGCCACACCAAAGGTGGTTTACGTACCAGTCACAATAATTTCCCTTTAACGCCAACAGGGGAATCACTTGAGAATCACCGCAAGCACGAAAACAGGTCAGCATTTTGGACCCCTTAGGGCAAAAACTGGACAATAGAGGGAGCTTGTCCTGGAAACAAAACATAGTTTCCTCAAGGTACTCCCCAAGTAATCCACCCCCGCTCCCCCTCTCAACTTGAGTCAGCAATGGCCTAAGCTCAAGGACCCGAAATCTGATGGTTCACATGGCTAGGACATAACTCTCCACCTAAGTTTGATGCCCAAAGAGTCCCGAACAACTCATACCCTTTGGGAAAAAACGAGCATGCTCCGCGGGTTATGTTCAATCAATACCCGCTCAACAGAAATTTGGGCCAGAAAGCTGGCTCTTGGGACCAAGAGGCAGGGCACAGTGGCCCGAGATTCCACTGACCAGTTTAGAAAACCAAGGGAACCACACAGAACAACCCGTTGAAAACTGAACACATTAGCATGTAGCATACTATACAACCCGCTGACGCGACAAGCGAAGCGGCCTTCTTTCTGCAATACGACAACCCTTTGAACACTAAAACACTAGCTTGTAGCTTGGTGATAAATGGGATCAAGGTGTGGGCAACCCGCTGAAGCGAGCGACGCGGCCTTCTTTCTGCAGCACCACCGGCGGAGGTGCTTCTACTACGTAGAGGCCAGCGCTGGCCACATCCACCTGCGCGAACCACATTGCTGGAGAGGAGGTTACAATCATGTCGACCTTGGAGTTGCAGATTTCTCAAAACGGCGGACCCCTTTGTGGATGTAGTTGAAATCAACCCCCAGGAAACTAAAAACACATTTAGGGGACCTATTTTGAGAAACGCCTAGTTGAGTAGAACCCTGTGAATTCATAGGGGAAGTGCTTCGAAAGTCTACCCATGGGGCAGCCTCGCAGTCTTCAGTCTCCAACCTGGGCTGCCCTCACATCCCCTGCTAGTGAACAACTGTTCGTGGGTTCAATGGAACTTGGTTGACTCAACTGACGTTGGAAGGGGAGCAAACATTGACAAAAAATAGCTGTTAAGTGGGGATTTCCCACTAAACCACAAGGAGCAAAAATGTAAAATGTGTCCCAACAACCATGGGAAACCCAACCACCACACCAACAAAAAAAACAAGAAATCCCATGGGAGCCACCGTCTTCAAGGTCATGCCTGATCACCAGCAATCGATTTGCCTCGCGATTTGCCTCGTGAAGGGCACTAGACTCACTAGATTAGATCTGTGCAACCTCGACGTTAAGTGAAGCTAGGCTCGAGTGGCCAGTTCCCACACCAGTGGCCATGGATTCGGTTCAAAGCGCGCTCTCTTCGTTGCTTTTCGTTGAAAACCCGAAACCCGAATCCCGAATCTCCGAGAAAGCTGTCAGGGCACCCCACCGAAAATTCTGGGCCCCTTGGGTCCAGAATTTTGCCTCACGGAGATGGGCCTTTGCTTCCTTTTGCTTGACCTTTCACAACCCAACCAGGTTCCGGAACAAAAATAAACCGACCCAACATCCTGATGGCCAAGTTTTAAAAAAAAAAACAACTCAGCCAAGCTTTATCTGAAAAGAAAAACCACCAAGGGAAACAGAGGGATCCCTGCAAGAATGCAAACAAGAAAAGGCACACCCATACATCTGGAAGATTTCTGAAGCAAAGTTGCAGACAACTGGCGCACGGCGAACGGCAGTTAGTCCCAAATGGGTCAGATTACCATGCCTAACTTAGGGCCCAGCGGGTGCCAAATCCTCAAATGTGACCTTCTTGTTGCTTGCTTTTTCTGCGCATGGACTCCGGTTATCATGATCAACCGGGTGTCTTACCTTTCCCAGTAGATCCCAGTTGCGGCTATAGTAGGTAACCCTTCGATCCATTTTCCTCTTGGCTTTAAAGGCTGGCAAGTCCTTGGTTACCCACAAAACCACGGATCCACCAGCCTCCTTGTTTGGTGGTTAGGTGCCTGGTGGTTTGCTGGTTAAGAGGTGGTAAACCCCATTTACCCTCACAAGACCCAGTATCCAAACCACGAATTGAGGGGTGCATGTGCGCGATTGAAAACAACATACGTTGCCAAACAGTTCCCTTGGTACACATTATTTCTAGAGGAACAGCCGTTGTAAAGACCACCTCCTGAGGAACCTTCCTTTCGAGTTTCTCCCGACGGATGCCCTCAAACGCAAGGCCTGCCTCGCTCTGCAGTTCCCCGAGCGCGGTGCCCAACAAGGCCTCAGCCGCTTTCTCTTGCGCCTCTTGAAAACGAGCCGCCGGGCGGGCTTCGGCGACTGACTCATGCGCCTCCTAACCACAATGCGTGGCTTGCTGCTCAACATCATCCACCATGCACCACGTACCTAAACAAAATGCGGCGGGTAACTGACTCACATCCACCATGAACCATGTACCTATTAAAAAAATGCTTGGCTCTTCAACATTCAAGGGTCCCCTAGGCTCTGAAAACAACCACCATCGCTGCGAAGAAATGGATTGCCGGATACACGCAAATTGTTGTCCGGGGCAAGCGCTCGGAACACGACTCTCCCCGTCAAACGCGTCCCTTGCTCCAAAATCGGAATCCCCAAAATGGCACCCTTGGGAAATGGGAAGACTAAAGCCTGCGCATCCCTAGCTCTTTCATTTTGAGCCACAGTCGTGTTGGCACCAGGTTGTGGACCCATCAATGTAGGTCTGTCTCACACAACGGAAACCTCAACACGGGTGTTTGGTCCTTTGGTTGCCTAACAGGTGACCTCAAAAGAGTCGCACCGGTTCCAACTACCTGAGGATGTACTTAGCCCCAACGTCTCGTACGTTGAGCCAGCCGAGGGGCCAGTAAAGCGTACCGGGCCATCGAGAAAAGAGCTCAGCTCAATCTAGTGTGGAGCCAAGCTCAAACGAATCGGCCGCGGGCTGCCAAGTCGCACTGAGCTGTCAAGAACATGCACGAAAATCAAGGCGAGCCCCGGTATTTCCAGTTGCCACTAGAGACTGTTTGCCGTGGTTACCTGCTTGCAGCGTTTTAATGTGACGCCCTTTCTGAAGCCAATTGGCACACCTCCATTCCTTTCTGAGGGTGTTTAATAGGCTAACACCCGGCACCGACTGCGGCCAAATCTAATAAAATGACACGAGTTGCCTGCTGTGCATAAAGGTCAATACCAGTCCAACCAAGTCCACAAGCTTTGTGTCTCAAGTGAGAAGAGGTGTGAACCCATGTTGCCGTGTCTCGGACTTGACCCTTCTTGGTGACTGGCTTTCTGTTTGGCTTCTTTTAACGTCATGTACATGAAGGGTTCCCAATTTGAAACAGAAGCCTCTGGCTGCTGAAGACTGCACTCTTGGGCCGTTCGTTCCTGAAACATATATTCGACAAAACCAGAGGCGTGCCGCAAAACAGCCAGAAATGCCGGCCTAAACAGCTTTTACCCAAGCCCGGTGCTAAGATCTGTATGACCGAAATACGGGCTGACGCCACCGAAAGCAAATGGGTGTTACTCTTTTTTAGTTGGTACCCTTGTTGAGATGTCTTCAGGAAAATCGCCGCGGCCCGCCGAGTTCAACACATCCAAGTCCTGTGTGCACCTCACGACTTAGCTTTGCAAAGCAACCTATCTCAAACCCATCAGGGCAAGTCAGCGCCTCAAAACCAAAACCAATCTGATGTCCCTAAGCCAACCCTAAAATGGGCAGAATCGGTCTACCCTCAAAGCATAAACACGCACACACACACACACACACACACAGCAAGGGCTAAATCACAGAGTCATCATGGGCGTGGTCGTTTGAGTGGCTTCTCGTCACAAGTCCTCAAAGATATCAACGTTTGGAGGTCTCCTGTTGTTTCAGGACACGCCCACAAAGAGTTACCTACCACAAGAAACCTGGCGCGCCTATGTAGGGCTTGAAGTACTCTCGTTCCCGGCGCTCATTCTGCTCCTGTGCTTTCGCTCCGAGTTGTCAGATGGCTGTGTGTCAAAATTAGGAACCCGAAAACAACCATTTCAAGAAGCCCCCCCTTAGATGTGCACACCCTGGCAAGCACCACCCTTCAAGTGGCTAGGGTCTCGATTCTGCGATGCCCCAACGGAGAGGTATCTGAGTTCTTTCCGCTGAGCGAAGCGATGGGTCCAACCCGCTCCAAACAGTGATGCGCCTTGATAAAAAGGAGGAGAAACAAAAACGAGAAAAAAACCAACTCGTCGACCTTTGGCTCCTTGGCATGTCGCGCAGCTTCCTCTTCCGCTGGAGATCGCTTCGGCTTCGGCGGCGGCTTCCGCGCCATCGGCGGCGTCGGCGCGCTCGCCAGCGGGAGCTTTGCCGCTGGCCTGGCCGGAGATGCAGGCGATATTCTTCTTGGGAAAATTGGCCCTGGTTAAGTCAAACAAAAGGGAACCCAGGGATCGAAACCCCTCGATTTTTCAACCAAAACCAAAAAGGACACCTATGGATGCAGGCCATATGCATCCTTTTTGGCACAATGCTGGGAAGAAAAAGAAAAGACACTTGTTTGGCGTCGATTGAAATCTATCTGTATGTGTGTATATAGTTATATATATATACACCATATTTTCAACTAGGCGCTCCTTTCAAAAAAGCCCAAAACGAACTAAAGGAACTTCCAAGGAAAGAGCCAACAATAAGTTGGATTCCAAGCCCAGTTCAAGCCTTCTGGGCAATTCAAAAGCGATATGAAGGAATCGCCTGTTTTAAACCTTCAAGGTGCACTGTGGGTTGGAGTCGATCTTGATCACGGATCTCTGGTTCTTTGCCCCCCAATGTTCATATAAAACATGCAAAAAACACACAGTAATAACAATTCATGATTAATACATTAAACATAAAAATAATAAGTAACAAAAACACAGAAATAATCAACAATAATAAACATGTTAAATAACAATAAGAATAATATTAATAATAATAATAACAATAATAATAATGAACAAATAACACTATGATCATAATAATAATTATGAAACAATATTTAACAAATAAACAACACTAGTAACACTTACAACAATAATAATAAAAAAAAATGAAAACAATACAAATAATAAACTAATAATAAGACGAAATACGAATCAAGACAAGTCAAGTAAAGAGTGTGCCCAAAAGTGCTATGGCGACACCGGAAGCTTCACTCGCACAACCTGTTTTTGTCTTGAGCCAAAGCATTCAAGTAATCCAAGGCGAACTGAATGTTTGTTATCAGTGTCAACCCTGGAAACCTGATTCAAAGGGCAGTTCAAGAAAACATGAATTCCGGTGGCAAGGTTGAATTAGACATGCGTGTGCCACCTACCATCAGGAAAATGTGGATTCCAGCAGGAGGCATTCTTCTCCCCCTTCTCACACTCGGAAAGTGTCCTACGCAGACTCCAGTTTAGTTATTTAACAATCCGGCCTACGGGTCTCGGAGCGTTTCCGCTTCACGAGGTTGCACTTTGCAAGTTGAGCTTAAGGATGCCATGTTGAGTAGGTTTAATGCATGGTCCCACTTGCACAGCGGCAATGGTTTTGTAAACACATCTGCTCGCTGCTTGTCCGTTGCTATGTGCAGGAGTCTGCAACTTGGATCTTCGAAGACCTCATGAGCTGAACCTAGTTCGATCTTCTCCGTCTTCGTGAGGTGACGCAATTTGGGGCTATAGCCTGCAGCCACGATTTGGATTACAGCTGAGTTGTCCTGAAAGCACTCAAGCATAACCTGACGGTTCAAGAGCAACTCAAGGAAGCCTTGTGTTGGCAGTGCTTCGCCGAAAAGGCCTGATCCTAGCGAGATCATTTCTGCTGCTGTTGTGCTCCTGGCAGTCGCGGTTTGGCGTTTGCTGCCCCACGCGATTGGCCATAAGGTGTTAGGGCCCTCAATGGACAAGAACATGCCGCTCGTGCTTTTTGTATGTTCGATGTGTGCAGGCACAGCTTGAGCAGTTCTGGCGGGTCGCCTATATGTCCTTGTAAAGTGTACCCTTTTGACCCATACAGGTAGCACATTAGCCTATGGAGCCGTTTATCATCTGCTCGACTCCAAGTGGTTATCCTACGTGTCAAATCCCCTATCCCTTTCATTAGGTCGGGTCGGCTTAGCCTAGCGCACCAGAGGATCTTCATCAAGATTTTGCATGCAGAAGTTGCCAAAACCCCTTTACTTTCAAAGTCAGTGGTTGTAAGGCTTCCTTCTGGGCAGAAAGGATTTATAGCTGCGTTCAATTTACATTGAGCCAAGTCCTCGTACACTGCACATGCGTTCTCGATGAAATCGATCATTTCGAGCGAAACCTGGTCGATCCGTTGGTTCGATCGAATTTATGCTTTCTGCCCAGCACTCGTTCAACCTGAGTTGGAGGTTCAATCTCCAAGTGCTTTTCAATCTCCTGCCAAAACTTGTCTTGTTCTGATGACGGCCCTGAGCACAGAATGTCGTCGACGTAGCAAGTTACAAGAAGCTTCCTTTGTGGAAACCAAAATGAAGATGGAAATTCTTCAACATGTTGACCTTCCAAAAGTTTCATTACTTCCCTTAGCCTCTGATCCCAATGGTATCCTGATTCGGGATGGCCATAAAGGCTCCTGACCAACCTTACACACGGCTGTTTGAAGTGCCGGTGTTCAGGAGGAGTCAATTCCCAAGGCAAGATCACCCATGTGGGCACCTTTGTTCCAAGGTACGCTTGGGTGTAGGCCTTACTACGTCTGATTGACGAGTTTCGTGATCCTTGATGGCGCCGTATGCCAGATTGATGTTGACACCGGTCATTCCGGTCGGAGTGACTTTTGCTTCTTGGAGCACCGCAAGATTGTTGTCTTCCGTGAGGATGTGATCCCCTCGGAAAACTATCCTAGCTTTGAGTTTACGGAGTTCTGGGGTTTCCCAATGCTTTATCGACAAGATGGTCATTAGGGATGCAATGTTGATATGCTCCTTGTTCTTTTTACATCTTGCCAAAAGGTCCTCTTTTGAGATTACCTCATCGAAAGTCCAGGTTCCGTTTGCTACTAGCCCATTTACTTCATTGTCGATGGCGTCCTTGCGCTCCAGAAAAGTTACCCAATCTTTTCTCTCCAACAATTTGTGGATGCCAGCAAACACATGTTCTACTCCTGGCAGCTCCTGATGACCTGCCTCGTCTTCTGGGGCGTGGTCGCCACACAGGAACTCTTGCGCGGAGTTTGGACCAGCTGACACTTGCACAGGCATTGCAGGCGGTGCATCAATCCAAGGATATAAGGACTGAGAAATGCACCTTGCCATAGGCATCGGGTAAAAGGCACTTCTAGGTGTCTTACTGCCTGCAAGAGGTGAATGCTTATAGTCATGCGGATGTTGGCATTTGGCACCGTCTAGGTTCTTAGCCAACCTCCATGAAGAGGTTACAACTCTCCACGTCTTGAGGTGACATTTACCTTCTTGGTCACAGAGTCCAAATGCGCAACCTTGAGGTTCCGCCACGAACAAGTCATGCCTCTTGATAAACCTGATTAGCTCTGGCAAGTCCCATCCCGCACATGTCTTCGGCCATTCGAAGGCAACGTGGCCCTCTTGACTGCGGACTTTGTCTGCACAACGAATGTAGTTTGCCAAAATGTTTCTAGAATGCTTGCGCATTTTCTTGAGTTTCTTAGCAAACGGTTTTCCGTATTGATGGAGATTTACATTCTGCCATTGCGACCAGGGGCCGCAAGGAATCGATCCCCACAAATCACACCCGGGAACTTGTTCTCTGACCTTCAAAAGACTGTCATTTTCCCACTGGTTTGACATGTCAGAGTTCTTTGTTGTGAGTCGGACATGGTTAATTCCTCTTTCTTCGTTGATCTGACCCAACGTTGAGTTCCCATCGCAACAAAACT